TGGATCGCCGCAGCCGCCCGCAGCTGGAAAAGGTGAAGGAGGGTCCCCCCATCTGGCCGAGTCTCCAGAGGAARCAAGTCCCTGCTGACACCTCGACTTTGGGATTTGGGCCCCCAGAACCGTGAGAGATGCAGTCCCATTGTTTCAAGTCACTCGGCTTTGGGTTATCTGCTACAAGTCTTAGGAAACTAATACAGCAAGGTAAGAGGAACTACTCATTTAGTTTATCTCTCTGGAAAATCATGGAACCAGAAAAAAAAATCACAGTAAAATCTACTCCTAAAAACCCACCAATAATATCATTAATATTGAAGACTGAAYGAAACCATAGAAAGTCATCGTTTCGCCTCATCAGTGAAAATTGACCTTTAAAACCAGAGATTACAGTTGARTAGCACATGGCCAACAAACCCTGCCCCTGCGTGGAGCAAGGGACAGATGACGACACGTATGGTTGTCACATCCCACATTCTGCAGATGCAGCCTGTTTGTCCAGCTCTGAGAATTCAGTTTACTATATTCTCACCACATAGCATCCTTAAAAAGTGAGGAAAACCAGAGAGGTGTTTTCTGCCTTTGTCTCTAAGAAGCAAAAGTTGGAGTGGCATATAAAAATCTAAATCTTCTGGAACTAATGCTCCTTTAGATATGGTTTCTAATTTTAAGTGCCTGAGCTTGATTATTGATCACAACGTGTCTTTAAATGAACAGATTAAAACTTTCTCCATAAAAATGAACTGTAAAAAATGATAGCTGCTCTCTGGAGAATGAGGCACTGATCTCTAGACTTAAATTCCAGCTGTGAAGAGAAAACTCCCCTTCTGAGCATAAAGATCTGCTGCTCAGTATCCTCTCAAGCCCATTTCTCCCTCCTTCTCCCTGCACCTTGCCCACCTGGGGAAAATATTCTGACATCCTTCCTTCTTGATTTATCAGCAGGTACCTTATCAAGTCTACCAAAGTTAAATGAGAGCATTGTTCATTCTCCTCATCTCAAAATATAGGTCCCTTTGCAATGATCGCACTTGTAAACACCCAACCCAAATACTCAGTTTGGTTTAAAAGTCTTTTTACCTTTTTCACATAGATTGCTTGATGATTTTTATGACAGCTCTGAAATGAAACTTCGTAAAATCTCTAATAATGAAAGGAGTGATTGATTCAATCAAACTTAAGAAATATATGAGAGCAATAGCAACATAGCAAGAACTCTGCTGTAGCTGCCACCTGTCTCTGCTGCAGCAACCTCACAAAGTGGACAGAGTGGCTGATGATTCCCACCCAAAACACAGCCGGCAGCCCATCCCCAGGAACTCTGTCTAGACAAGTGCAGACAAAAGGAACTGGGAAGCCCAGCTCTGCAAAACAAAACTAGCAGCCTAGTGAGCAAGAGATACCACTCAAAGACAAGAGTGGCCTCTCCATCCAGGACATCCCCAAAGATGGCTTACACACAGCATGGATACCAACTCTACATACTCCGAGCAGGGGCTTCTGGAGCAAGAGTGTGTCCTAATATGARTGGGGAGAGGCCAGGCAGGATGCCTTTAGGAAAAGGAAGCAGCCACACAGGAGAAGATGCACATGAGAGGCCAGGAGGGCAGGTGGCACCTGTGCCTGAGCAGACCACTTCAGGGGAGCCAGTGCAGGTTTGGGGTGGGGCTGGGAAATGTGCACTCCTGCSGAGTTCCCAGGTAAGGCATGCAGCTGGCTCATCCTGAATTGGCTATTGTTCAAGGCAGCAGGAGGTATTCCAGAATGGCCTGGCTGGCCAAACTATGGACTTGGATTTGACCTCCTCTTTGGACTCCAAAAATCTACATAAACTACTCTGCTCAGAAGTCCTCTACSCTGACTCACATAAGAATCATGGAGGGAGACCTAATAAGGGCAGATGCCCAGGCTGATCCCAACCAGTTATGCCAGAATGTGCATGGGGACKCAGACACCCGGGGATTGTCAAGGCCTCCAGATGATCTGGGGTTCAGCTCGACTGCAGGGCACTTGCACGTCCCTGAAGACTGTGAACACTGGGTCCTCGGCACCCCTCCTGGACTCCACAGCCTTCCAACAGACATGGGGAGCTTTCTCCACTGGGTAGATCCATCCACAATGAAGAGAGCGTAGGAAGTGTGTGTTTGTATTGGTACCTGAAAATGTTACCACCCACTTCACTGCAGTTTTGGAGAGCAGCTTCTTTCCTTGGGGCCACATAGAGGCAGTGAAAACAGCAGAYAGGAAGACAAACTGATTGCTCTTCTCTGCCTATCTCCAAAGCCACCCATGTGGAGACAGTCTCCCACGGGGCCTATCCTATAAGGAATCTTGTCATGTTCCCATTGATATYGGGAGGCCATGGTTTGAACTCTGCAAGGAGATTGCATCTCTTGGCTAAAGAGAGGCTGTCTTTCCCCAGATCTCTCCCCACTTATCTGTGGTATTTCAATGATTGACAAACAGAGAAAAATATATTTATTTAGGGATTATCTATATTGAAAACTAGACATGGGATTTTTTTCTCTGTCAACATTGTGGTAATATCAGCTATTTGAACAAAAGGAGAGGTATTTTTCCATTCAATCCTGAATGCTGAGAATTCTCCAGTTTATATTCAGAAAGACATTTGGTTTTATTGATTGTGTTAGTTGAATAAGTTTGAATTCCTATAGCCAGGCAAGGAGGAGGTTGGTTTTCTCTTTATTGTAAAGGTTATTAGGAGGAAACCAGTTATAGAAGTTGTTTGTCTTTAGACGATCCTATAGAATCAGAACCACTCAGATCTGTTCCAGAAGTTTGGTTCAAAGCCAAATTCTTCAACAGTCTCAAATACCATGATGTCTCTTCTGGCGATGCTAATTTTATTTTTTAATACTTTGCTATTCTAAGGAGTGCTTTGTTATCAATGGAGAATTGTACATTTCCCTGCTTTTAATTGGGGAGAAATTTTTAAATTGCACTCACAGTCTGAGAATTAATAGGCCCTATTTAGAATGTCTGTAACCCAGAGTCTTGCTCTGATGGTAACCTTTCCTTGGCATACTTTCCCAGCATCCTTTGCTGTAACGGTGACCTCTTATTGGCACACTTTCCTTTGCAGCCTCCTTTGTTCTTACAATAACCTCTACGGGCACACTTTCCACCATCTTCAAATTTGAAAAAGAGATACTAAAAGACAGCGACTTTGCTGTATTTCTCCTCGGTTTTTGGTCTTTCTTCTCATCTCAGATTTAAGAGAATGAGCCACAGCCCTGGGTCAATACTCAAAACCATTAGTGTTATTCTTTCAAGGAAAAGCTCAGGCACCACAAACCTCTCCTGGATTTTGCAGATATTCTGTAAATCGTCAGGGAAAAGCAAGGAAAAGATAGAAGAACCACATTTGGCATGTCAGAGCATAGTGGTAGAAATACAGGTGGAGGCATGAATATTATTGCCAAATGGAGGGGTCCTTAAATATCAGTAATAAGTACCTGCGCTTCTTTCCGAAATGTCCTTTCCCTTGAAACCTTTTGACATTCGCCCTTTGATCGCAGCCTGCGTGTCCAAGGACAGCCCTTCCCTTACTTTCTGAGAGAATGATGTGACTTATAAAAATGACCACAATATTTTTTAAATGAAGTTATGCAAATCTGATAGACTAAAGTAAATGTTTCATAAAACCAATGACTGTTTAAATTGTAGGACTAAATTGTTTGTATATAAATATTACCTTTTATATTCCATTGGAGTTTTATGTAGATGAACACATTACTTTAATGACCTGCATTTACAGAGGGAGAGTGTAAGAGTTGCTCCCTGAAATTCTCGCCAGCCAGATGGCTGCCTTTTCTTGCATGAGATTAAAAGATGTTTCTCATTCACCATGATGCTTCTGAGGCAAATTAATATCGCCAGCTAAATTGCTTGTGTTTTTGGAATAAAATTTAAAGAGAACTTTTTAAAGCAATTGGTGTCACAGGTTCTCAGAGCAGATTGCTCTCCAGGTAGAGAGACATTCGGTAATTAATGGAAAGAATTCTGTGTTAATTGACTGCTTCGGGAAGGGAAATATAATGACTCCTTATTAATCATGAAAAGAGATGTACGGCATGGAGGCCCCACAATAATTGCTGGAACAGTGGAGAAATGTTAATTAATGAAGAGAACAATGATGTAAGAAATTAGCTGCATAATGCTTGCCACCGATGGAGGTTGGATTTTAAACACATTATTTAGAGCGAAAACCACAAAATGTTGCCTCCAATAACAGATACGAGGAAACTCTGGCCACCAGAATTCAAGGGGGAAAATCCTTCCGGTGCTCCTGGCATCCTTGGTTGAAGAAGCTCCGTTTGCATGGAGCTATATTTATTTCAAAGAAAATGGCCTTGTCTTTTTCTCTCTGATCTGGACTTCTAAAATCACAATCATCCCCAGACCAAAACAAGGTCATTGATTTAATGTCATTTAATTTCAACACAGTAGGTCATTCTGACTGCTAAGGACAAAGAGAGGGGAAGACAGTATTTTTCCCTAAACTGAAATAAACGAATTGAATTTCTGATATTTCCCAGCTAATATAAAGAAAAAATTCAGATTCGCTTTGGGGACAGAGTGTCTTTTTTAAAGAATCTAATTTTAAGTCCCCAAGAGAACATATAGCTTCTTCTATGTCTAACAGCTCATTTTCTAGAGAAGGAAGCTGAGTTTATTAACATGCAGAGGCGCTGCTAGCTCAGTCCCACTGCGTTGGAGCCGCTCAGAATCATTAGTGGCCACAGGCCAAGGCCAGCCTGATGGCTCTACTGTGTCTGGGCAGCTCCCAGGCAGGCCCTTCCAGCATCTGCATGATGGGAAGAGTGACACTTCGAGGACCAGTTTGCTGAAGGGCAGAAAGAAAGAAGCCCACGCTGCACAACAGGCTGCTCCCACAGTGCTCCAGGTGGGCAGAGGGCTGCTGTCCCTGTGCCCTCCGGCAGGTGAGAGAATCCCACCCACTCCACCCTTGATTTTCATTCCAGGTGGAACGTCCTGGGACTACAAGGAGCTCTCCTCTGTCACTTCATCGAGCCTGTGTACCTCCACAGCATCATCGTGGGAAGCCTGCACCACACGGGCCACCTCTCTCGGGTCATGAGCCACAGGATGGAGGACATTGGCCAGCTGCCCACGTCATACCGACACAACCGGCCTCTCCTCAGTGGTAAGTAAACACCATCGGGGAATCCACAGTCTCTTCCCTATCAATGGGCCAGCTGCAGACAGCCCCCAACSGTACCACTGCCAAGTCAGAGGCAACTGTATTAATTCTGATGAGTAACTGTTGAAGATAATGAGCAAAATTTCAATGATCTAAAGACTTAAAAAAGAAAAGGAGGCAAAACAGTATGGCTCTCTGAATACAGGAATAGGCAGCATTTTAGCCAAATTCACAATGGGACTCAGCACATCTCAGGTCACTGTGACATTTTCACTGCAGTGTATAAAGGAGCCAGTAAACATAGACCCCACTAATGACCTGCCTAAGAGGCCCCAGCACCACACCCCCGGGGCCCTTCTACAGGCAGCATTGCAGAGGGACATGCAGGTGGGGGAGGAGGGGCAGGAGAAGGAAGGTGGCAGCCAGACCCCAGGACCAGAAGTAGGTCTGCAGGACCCAGGGTCCCTGTGCTCTCAGGGGCAGGACGGAGTGGGCAGCAAGGTGACTCCGTGAGCTCTGAGCCAGGCCACAGCTCCTACCGACCTCCCACAGAGCACAGACATCCTTAGAGATCCCTGGCACTTCATCCTGCCTTGGCATACAGCTGGCCACAGGGGTCATGGGTCATGCAGCCATGAAAACATTGGGGAACCTGTCAGGTTCTGTGTGCACTCAAAAGAAGCCAATAGGAAGTCTTCAGGGCTTTTTTACCCTTGAGACTTTACCCATTTACCCACTGTGCCCACTGGCCTTCCACATTAAGCAAACGTCCCGGTTTGTGGAAACAAATGGAAGGAATGTGTGGATTTTAATAATGCTCTGTAAGCCTCATTGTGGGGACATAGAGGAAAACACTAGGCCCTTGGGTCAGCCCCCTGGCTGAGGAGGAGAGCTCTCTTCAGAGACTGCTGGTGGCAAAATCAGACACACTGAGGAAGAGGCGGAAATACCTATACCCAAGGGAGGCACAGCCTCTGCTCCAAGATCCTAGAGACCAACACCCCTGAGCTTTGCTGCTTTAGTTTAAGACTAGATCAACAGAAAGAGAAAACATAAGATTAAAAAAGCTAATTTTAGTGTTGGAGATGGAGTACTTGGGCCTAAGATTTATTCCCAAGATTCCAAAATTTTTCTACATTACAAAACCAGAGGCAAAGTAGGGCCTCTTGGGAGCAGTGGTGGGATTTAAAAGAAATAATTCACGCACAACACATAACTACGCTAGGCAGGCACTTAAGATGTCTCCTACCACAAAAGTGAATCCATTTCTTCATTTTTTCTACAATCTCGACTATTCAAAGACTGAACACCTTCTATGTATTTTTGTGGGAGATAAGATCACAGACTTTGAAGTTAAAATACAGAAGGAAGAAGAGGAGAGGTTTCACCTCTATACATCCCTAAGAGATCATTGTAYCTTCATGTATTAAAATTTTTAAATTTATGAGACCCTATTCCTAATAGTCTGAAATCCCACCACCTTTTCGTTAGCAGTGGAGAGACTTTCATGGCATTGGATTCAAAACCAACTCATGTTGGRACTGGTTTCCCCTGTTGTCACATCCACAAGATCTCCCAGAGTCTTGTGAAGGAGAACTTGTAGTGAAAATTAGCGAACTTCAACAAGCTATTTGAAAGAGGTGGCTATATTTGATCCAGAAATGTTAAATAGATGTTAACTCRTTAAGGCTTTACCTTTCTTTACTATGACATGGAGCTGAGCTATTGTGGAAGGGGTGATCCTTTACTACCATCCTCGGGATAAGTTAATATTAATAAAGCAAGATGGCACCTCCAGGCTAGGGGGACCTTACCTTCAGTGCACCTGCTCTGCTGCTATTTATTCTTTGTCCCCTATCCCTACTTCTGCCCTCAGCGGATCACCWATCTCCTTCAACCTCCACAGAGGTGTTGTTGGGTCTTAGTCACTAAGTGGTCTCTGATRTGCCTGGTGGGCAGAGTCTCAGTTCACCTCAAAGGTCGAAGCTAAAAAATACTCTGCATTTTGATCCAACTGATAGCTGTGTCCAGGGCTGCAGAGTTCCATGGCCCAAACCATAACAGCTTTGGGGCAAGGAACAGCCTATGGGTAGTTTCCTTGGAGCTGAGAGGAGGTGAACATTGAGAGGGGCCTGATCTGAATGGGGCAATTATTATAAAGTTCTGAAGTCTCTTTCTAAAGATGGCTTGTATCATTTAGAGAAGGGAGTTCTTGAATAGGTATTGCCTTGCAATATACCAAGTTCATGACATATATTTTCTCATTTGATCTTCACTCCAACTAACATCAAATGGTATTATCTACATTTTTTCCTATGTCAAAAGAAATCCAGATAAATTCAATAACTTGCCGAAGATGCTSTATCAACAGGAAACAAGATTTGAATTCAGACCTGATTGATTATAAATCCTAAATTATTTCAATGCACCACACTGCATTCCATGGCAAAATAGTATAATTTCTTAGATATCTATTTTTTTATTTTTTTTTAGTTGTAGATAAACACAATATCTTTATTTATTTATTTATTTTTATGTGGTGCTGAGGATTAAACCCAGATAGAACCTCACATGTGAGGCAAGCGCTCTACCACTAAGCCACGACCCCAGCCCAAGATGTCTATTATTTTTTTAATCATATAAAAATTAATAGTGCAAAGCAAGACTCGCTGAAGAGGTGGCAACATGTAACTAATGGCAAATTGGTGTGGGATAGGCAAGCCAGSCCACTGAGGCTTCTTGAACTTTCTTCTCTGCCCACTGTTCTCATGATCTCTGAGATAATACAAAGGACCCGCCTGTTGCAAGCAAGGAACTGAACGATTTGCCTCCAACTCTGACTCTGTAGAGTCTAAACAGTCAATAATTTCAGCAATTCTGATAAAATATTACTTTGGGCTCAGCTTCATCCTCTTATTTGCTTTCATTTTTCCTTTCTTTCTCTCTGCCATCTTTTCTTGAAATCATCTTCTTACTGTGGTTGAATGGCCAAAGCAGCTCTGAACAAGACCCAGCATGGCTGGTTTGGAACTAGTTGAAAACGTTCTCATATTGAGTGCCCCCCAAAATGTAGTGTAGTTCTTAGATTGATTTCCAAGTTAAATTTGAGTTTGCATCTATTTGGATGAGTTACAAGCTCTTTTTTCATGATTTTGGCTATTTGGGTTGTCCACATTCTTCTGTGTTTATTTACTAATAAAGAATTATTTAAATTTCATAAGAACAAGGAAATCAAAAATACAAATACAACCACTGTTACCAGGTTGTCACTGCCAAGGAAATAGCATCTATGCCTCCTTTGGGTATCAGCACATTACTGTCTGGGCATCCAGCCTCCATGATATGCTCTTTTTAAATGATATATTCATCCAAGAACATATCAACATAAATAAAATGGGAATTATCTTTTTTTCTTTAAGTGTGAAATCAGTGAATTTTTAAAAGACAACAAAGAGAAATACAGAGTAGCCTGACATGGTTGGGTGGTGTGACATACATCAAAGCTTCTGAGACCCCTTTTTTACCCTCTCATCCAGGTGACATCTGCCCCATCACAGCCAGGCCATTCTGACTAAATGCTTTGGTCTGTGCTTAGGTGTTTATTTAGAACATGATTTTCACTATTGTAGAAACGCGAATGAGCCTAAACCTTAGTATCTCACCTGCACCCAACCTCCAAACAGTGACTGCATTGGTCTTGATGGGTATTTAAAAACCAATCATGCAAATTTTGAAAGGAAATYATCAGAATGTCTTGCAAAAAAAGGAGAGAGGTCTTGCGTAAAGACAATAATAAAAAGCACACTCAAACAAGCCAATGAAATTTGCTCGAAGCTTCCTCAAGGTCAGTTTGYAGAACTGCTGAGAAGATGAAGCTCATGTATTAGTGGAATGAAGGCCTGCAATTTAGATATGGCTTACTCAGTTTGGGGTTAGAAAAAAGCAGCCAAGCTGAAAAAGAAACCCTTATTGACACAGTCATAAGGTGAATATTAATATTCTTGCAAGACATACTTGAGGACTTCTGCACACTCCCGGCTAATCTATGGCAAACTTCAGGACCAGAAGCCCATTGAAAAGCTGTCAAGATCCAGAATTCCTCAGCAGAAGGTGCCCTGTCACTCAATAGCAGATACCCAAAGGAAGGTTGCCATTGATCTTTCTCATGAACTCAGYGAAAATAAAATGATAAGCATAATAATTAATAAAAATCTGAACCTGAATACTCATCTTTTTAGAAAAAATATGACATAAAACAAATTGAATTTGACACCTTGCTCTACCAAGCTCAGGATATATGCTTTTGTGAACTCTTAAACTCAAGTCTAAATTTTACTTTTCTTCATTAAGAAAAAATAAATCACATCAAAGAGAAAAATCTGGAGAGGATGGATAAATTCTTTGTTCAAGTCAATGGCTTATTTAACGTATATATTTTTCAATCCTGAACTTTCTTTGTTCACAACAAAGATAAACCTGTATGATTTTTTTAAAAGTGTGCAACAATTCTTTGTTCAAGTCAATGGCTTATTTAACGTATATATTTTTCAATCCTGAACTTTCTTTGTTCACAACAAAGATAAACCTGTATGATTTTTTTAAAAGTGTGCAACAAGATCTTGGCAATGAACTTGAAACTTGAGAGATAAGTCCAGAGAACTGATTGCTAGAACCATGAGTTATTAAAGACTCTTGGCCTACGTTCATGTGATGGACATTACACTACTGGTGATAAAATAGATCATCAGCCTTCTTTCTTCATAATACACATTTTCCTGAAATAATAAAACTGGATAGTTGGCATGTCTATCAGAAGATCCTTCAGACATTCATGTTGCATAGCAACTTAATTAATCAGAAGTTTGTTACTTACAAAAATGTTCACCAACTATAACTTGAAAAATTTTACCCAATACCATTCTATTTTTTGCATTTTAGATGCCTCTCTGATGCTACTTATATTCATATCTTTGTGTGAGTTCAGATTTTTAAAATATTATCAC